TGTTTGTTTTTTTTTGTTTTTTTGTGTTTTTTTTCAGATGCAGCTTTGCAAACCTAAGCTGTGCTGCCATGCTATTTATTTTGAGCGTAGACTTTCTCCTGCCAGTCCTTCCAAACAAGCCATACTTATTCAGTCTTTTTCTAATTGTGTTGTCATTAACGTTAACATTTAATGCTGAAGCCTGTAGAGTCTGAGATGTAACTCTTGGGGTTTTGAAATTTCTCTGAACGTTGCACAGTCTAACCTTGCTGGGTGAATTTACTAGGACATCAACGACTGTGAAAATGAACTGTCCTTAATGTTTTCCACTTTTAAATAAAATTTCTCAATGTAGAATGATGGACTTGCTTTGAAATGGCCTTATAACCCTTCCCAGTTGGATGGGCTGCACCAATTGATTCTCTAAGATCATTGTTGATATCTTGGCATTTGTGTTAACACACACCTGAATGCTCCAGGCCAACAAACTGCTAAAACTTTGGCTTTTATAGAAGTGGTCACACTTGCTGATGAATTAATCAAGGACATTTGACTTGCAGCACCTGCCTACCTATTTTTAGGGAAGCAGTAAAGGTGTGCTTAGATTTTCCACAATGGATTCTCAATTTTGGCTTTATTTTTGTTAAATTATGACATGTGTTGTTCATCTGAGGTTGTATTTACCAAATTTAGAGACCTGCTAAGGAACAGATGATGATGTCCTTTAGAATTCAAACCATAGAACTGATAGAGGGTGTATTCTCTTATTCCAATGAATATAAGTGTAGTTTTATTTAAAGGATTGAAAGGATAAAGTTAACATTTCCTACCAGCTTGATGCTGCTTTTACTATGGAATTTTAATGTTCTCAAACAGAATCTTGTGTAAGACTCCAAACCCAACAAATGTGGAGGAGTTGATTTTTGGCACTCAACCTATTTGTTTGCTAGTTTGCCAAAATATACTTTTTTTAGTTGCAGCAAATAATCTAAAGCCAGTGGGCTCATAAAGATGTACACTTTATATTTGTTTCCAGTCAGCTACGATTGTGCATTTGATTAATTCCACAAAGCTTGGCTGCAGATAAGGACTAAATGATTAATTTCAAAAAGAAACAAACAGTATATATTTTTGGGTTGTTTTCTATTTGTACTTTAGACAGTCTTTGTTATGTCAAATTTCATATGTCCCCTCTTTTCCTACTTTCTAATGTGATATTGTATTTCCTGAGGGGGGGGGGGGATGTATATATGTATGGATTTATGACTTGGTTTTCTTTAACAGTTACATTTTAAAATGCTTGTGTTTATACTGCATGAGATATTGATATATTAGATGTACATTTTTCTTTAATTTTTGCATTGTTTTGTCATTATTTCAGATGTGTAGTATGCATGTGTGATTTTGAGTCAAGACAACTGCTTAGAGTCTTACCGTGCAACCACGAATTTCATGCCAAGTGTGTTGACAAATGGCTTAAGGTAAGGTTATAATAGATCACATTTCATATCCTTAGTTAATTACAATTAATAGTATCCTAAAGAGTAATAATTTACCTTAACCCCAACTCTAAGGAAACATTATACTGATATCGGCATATGTGTTTTATAGTTAAAGGAACACTATAGGGCAGGGCTGAGCAACCTTTGGCACCCCAGATGTTGTGTACTACATCCCCCCTAATGCTCTTACACTGCCAAATCATCATGGGAGGTGTAGTCAAAAATATCTGGTGTTAAAAAAGTGTTTTTTAAAAAAAAAAAAAATCTAGCTCCATTGCCCCTCTAAATATAGCAAAATCATACTTTCATTGCCATCTGCTGCTGGATCTCTGATCTGCCTGCTTGACTGACTGACTACTTCATGAGAAGTAGTGTTCTGAGCCAATCACAATGCTTTCATGTTAACAAGCCAAAACAGCCCTAGCCAATCAGCATCTCCTTATAAAGATGCATCTCTGAGGAAAGTTCAGTGTCTTCATGCAGAGGGTGGAGACACTGAATTGAGTGTGCAGCACTGCCTTGGGAAACTCCTCTAGTCGCAATCTGAGGAGTGGCCAGTGGAGGTATCCCTAGGCTGTAATGTAAACCTTGCATTTTCTCTGAAAAGACACTGTATAGTGCAAAAAGCTTAAATAGAATGATGCAACTCACCAGATCAAATTCAATAAGCTGTAGTTGTTTTAGTGACTATAGTGTCCCTTTAAAACATTATTGAGCGATGTGTTGCTGCCATCTACTGGCTGTTAGCAGTTCAGACCTATCTTGTAATGCTGGATATCAGGCATGCTGATTTTATTCTGTGACTGATTAGTAAATTTAGTTCTGCCATTTTTTTTTTATTCTTCTTTGAGTAAAGCTTCTACAACCCACTAACGGATTTTTTATTTTTTTTCCTTCCCACTTCCAGGCGAATCGCACATGCCCAATTTGCCGAGCTGATGCTTCAGAAGTGCATCGTGATTCAGAATGACCAATCTCAGAGCACAAGTCTAGTTCGGGTGTTCCTAGTCACATGCGTGTGTGTTTTTAATTATATGCGCACATGCCAACTTTCCATTGAACTTAAACCGTGTGGCTTCCAGCCTACTCTACACAAAAGGGTCGAAGGACCTCTTTTTGCACTGTGTGATTTAATCAATTCTAAAGCTTCTAATTAGTCTTCACAGTTATGGGATTGTTATACTAACCGTGTGATTGGGACTCCAAAGATTATTATTTTTTTATATTCCTTAGCTTATTTTGTGTGTGCACTAACATTCCCTGGTTTTCGTGTGATCATTCCGAGTGTTTTGCTGCAAGATTACAGTGGAAGTGATCTTTTAGCATGTGCTTTTATATTTAAAAAGAAAACAAAAAATGAAAAAAGAGAAATGAAATACAGTGGTAGCTCCAAACAAATTTAGCAATCTACCTTTTATTATAGAGCCTTCAAGATACTGTGAGTGTGGAATGTAAGGGTGAATGTTTATAGAAAATTGGCTTTGCGTGTTTGTTTCGGGCACATGAATGCAAGGTCAGTGTGTTTGGGAACCTATATACCAGCATGTATTGAGAATGTATGTGTGTTGTATTACTTATGCTGCAATGTATAATCTTGTGTGTTATTTAAACAGTACTAGTACTGTACACTGGTTTCTTTTCTTCTGTTTGCAGTTGCACACTGAATGCGAAGGGTGTAGCAATTTTAGGCATTTCATATCCCTACCCTTCACTGTCCCACAGACTGGTATATGAAAATTGATTCTCTTATTTTCCTATGTATTATCCTGTTTTCCAGTTATTAATTTGTTACTTTTTAAAATATATGTGCATCTGGAAACAGGAATGGGGGAAAGGTGCATTTTAATAATGCATTAGATATTTAGTGTTAACGTTGATAATTAAAAAAAAAAAAAAATCCTGAAGCTGTCTCTGTGTAGAATGTGTATGTTCATTCATATTTATATAGTGTTTTTGAATATATTTTTTTTCCTTATGCAAGGCATTTAAACATGTTCCAATTCTTCTCCCTTGTGCTCATTAAAGCAATAAGGTTGAGTTTCAGTTTATTAATTTGGATTCCAGTGTTAATGACTTGCTAGAAGTGCACAACAATTTACACTGTGGCTTAAATGGTGCAAATATTCCCACCAACCAAAAAGTGCTTTTCAAAATGTAGACCTGTGCATCCCCACGTAAATGGAGTTCCATGTTAAAGTCTGATTTCTCCTGTAAGCTCTCTTAGGTCTATATTGGACAGGTCCTGGAAGGATTAAAATTGTAGGATTAATTGAAAAGAAGAGAAGTTTTTCATCAATGACCACAACTGTTGTTGTTGTTTTCACTCCTACAAAATAGTAGAAACAAGCATTTTTTTTCTCTCCTCAACCACAGAGAAATGGCTTTAAATATTTAGCATTAATATTTTCATTTAATCAAGATTCATACACAAATTTCACAACGTAAATGATTGTTGAAAATGTGCCCTGTGAGTGTATCATGAAGTATGCCAGCCAGCCAATACATAATCCGTTTGTATCCCCCACCCCCCCCAACAATCATGAATTATGATATGGAAATAAGTGGCCTTGGCAATATCCTTTTAAAATGTATGGATGCATTTTCTACAGAGTAACATCTTGCATTATTTAAGTGCAATATGATATGGGTCTTATCTCCTGTGTAAACTGAGCCAATCATGGTGCGGTGGGGAATTTTTTTATATATTCAGGTAGTGGGTTTAATTGTATTAATATGATGTTCTTATTTTAAGTGTATTGTTTACCATAGACACTTTTTCACAAGAAGTGACCCAAAGTGTCTAATACACTATTCATATTACTTGTGCCTACGTGAGCATTTGACTGCAAATTCTAATCCTTTCAAACTAAAATTAATCCTATTCTTTATTTTTAATTTTTTTCATTGTACGGAAGGAATAGAAATATTGCTTTTAAGGCAGTGGGTAGTCCTAATTCCAGATTTATAGCTGCTGGCAAATTACAACTCTTTATCTGCTTGTTTCTATGGTTTTGTCATTCAGTTATGAGCTGTTAACAACTTTTAAGGTTTGGTACTGATTCCCCAAGCTCTACATAGACGTAGAAGTTCACGTTTCTTTAAAAACCATTATTAAAATGCACTTAACCCCCCATTTCCTTTGCAATGCTACTCCCTATCCATTTGGCTCCTATTTTTACCCCTCCCCCATTCATAAATATATATAAAAACTTGGTTGCAATAGCACAAGCAGCACATATTACCAGTATTGCTGTATTTTGCTGCCAGTCCCAGCTTTAAGTTTGTATTTTGTGTCATACCTTCTGATGCATGTCTGCTGGTTTGTGAGGCACAGATTAGTTTCTCAGTGTTATTCTGTTTATAGATGCTGCTTGTCCCCTTTTTTGTGCAATGTTCCCAACCCTGAGGTTCAGTGGACTTAACGAAAAGCACAATTTGTCTGTTTTTTATATATATATATATATATATATATATATATATATATATATATATATATATATATATATATATATATATTATACACACATACATATTGCCTCCATCACCCAGGACTGAATACAGAGCAGTCATGTATTTTTTTTTTTTTAATTATACTGAAAATCTGCAAATAAATGCTTTGAAACAAAGTGGAATCTAAATAGGCAAAGCTGCTTTTGGTATAACTTTTAAATCCACCTTTACTTAATCGAACCAGAGACTGGATGTTGTCACATCTCTTATACAAAAGTAATCATGTAATTGCGAGAGAAATTATACACCACACTCCTTGTATTGCAACAGATCCTTTTTTTTTATATATACCCACAGATACATCTTTTTACCTGTGTATATACACTATAACACTACTACACTTAATATTCACTTTAATAGAAGCATGCAAGCATCGCACTTTTTCTAGCTTAGACTGAGCTAATAAACAAAAGATAAAGGGGTAGGGTATACACTTGTGTTTTTTGTTTTTGTTTTTTCCTCAACAGAATGCTATGCACCCATCATATTTTATGACTTTATTGAGTTTATTTTAATGGATTTCCAAATGTGCAAGATTAGTAAGGTCAATCACAAATTTCTAGATGCACACTGGAGGCTGTTATTTCTGGAATTATTTTATTTTTCTTTAGTTTTGCGAGGGATTTTCACAGACCTGCTTCTTTGCTTCCTAATCACTGTTCTAAAGTCTGACGTAACCTCCAACAAGCACACTTGCTGCACTAATTCTGAACCCTCTAGGACGGTCTATACGTTTCCTTGTTTAATGGCCATTGAGGAGCACAGTCATTTTCCAGCTCATACTGCCATACTTTGTGTATCTACACATCTTACCCTAGCCTGCAGTAGTGCCTAACCTGCTTCAGAATCAATACAAATATGGGTTTCCCTCAAACTAACTTAACCTCAACTGGTGGCTTCTGGATATTTGGCACTGTTGTGTATCTTGGATGAATTGTCCGCCTAGGTTTTATTTTTGTTCCATATATTAATTTATGTTTGTCTAAAAGAATGGATATCAAAACCTATAGATATTCAGGATTTCCATATTTTGTTTGTGTGTAAACCACCACCCCTCCCACAAATGAAATGTCACCTTGATCTCTATAGATCTAGGAATGAGCCTCTTGTGCATTTTCCCTTTTGGTACATTTACAGTTACCTCATTTTGCTATTTAAGTTTGTGTGTGTTTTTTTTTTTTTTGTTTTTTTTTCAGATTTGCCAATGCAAGCTTTATGGGTTTTGTTGGATTTAAATTCGTGTTTTCTTGAGAATTGCTTTTTAATTCTCTGGTATCATTTAACATGACATGTAGTTTAAAATGTATTATAAATATATGTAACCAAATCATCTGAAGGCTTGATAAATTTTTAATGAAATTTGTATATTTTTTTTTTTTTTGTTGTTGTTAGTAATGCTTTACCAAGTAGTGCAATGATTTTTATTTTTTAATTTTATTTTTTCCTTTTATCCCTGTGCCCAATTTTGGAGTTGAGAGGGTTGTTCAGTAATAAATGTATGATGTACACTTACATGTCTGATGGTTTTTGTATAACAATTTTTATTGTGCAGGTGAAATATGGATATTTCTACAGAGATTTTTTTTTTCATCCGATCACATTTTACATAGTTTGGTTTGTGTACAAGGTGCTGTAGAAGTGCCAATTATACTTCAATTGTGACTAAGGAAGCAGATGTTTACTTCCTTAGTTGTAATGTGCAGGTTATCTCCTCTACTGGACTTTAAGCTATTTAAAAAAAAAAAAAAAATCTTCGGGAGTAAGGCACAATATGTATGTGGTGTGGTTTTTTTTTTTTGTTTTTTTTTTTAATATTGAGGTATGAGTACAAAGTATGTCAGAAATTACAGTATGCAGATAAAATTCCCAGTCCAGATCACAACACATGGAAACATGGAGAGCAACACAGGGTTGTTAAAAACTGTGAATACACAGTACTATATGCGTAGCAAATGATCACACCCTATGGGATTTAGATACAGACTGTACTATAATTCTAACATTTGTTTGAGCTCTCTATAGTTCAATTAATAGTATTATGAAATCTCTACCTTTTTTTTTTTTTTTTTTAAAGCAAAGAAAAAAGCAACATGGACATTTAGAAAAACTTACTTGCATGGATTATTATGATATTTATAGAATGCCGTCAAATTCCGCAGCGCTTTACAATGGGTGGACGAACAGACATGTAGTTGTAACCAGACAAGTTGGACACACAGGAACAGAGGGGTTGAGGGCCCTGCTCAGTGAGCTTACATGCTAGAGGGAGTGGGGGTAAAGTGACACAGAAAGGTAAGGATAAATTAGAGCGTAATGGCCTATGTTAAAGTAACTGATTAACTGGCTATAGCAGATTAAAGGACTACTTTAAAGATCCTAAGTACTCTGCACTATTTATTGGTGATCTATGCCATAAAAGTACCACAGTGCCTCTTGTGACGTGTTCCTTCCTCCGGAAGTTAGAAGTCTGGAACATCCACTAGATGTTGGTCTCGCTGTCCAGCGGCTTAGTTTATCCCAGAAATTCGACCACAGGCAGGTGAAGGCCAGATTGAGCTTCTCCACATCGTCGGTCAGCTTTGGTGTTGCTTGTCAAGCTGTAGGCCCTTTAGCAATAGCCACTTTAGATACCAGGCCTGATGAGCAGCCAAAGTTCTAAGTTTTTCTATTGAAATCTGCACGTTTTGTAAAAGGAAGAGGACATACTCTACATACAAAGCATTTCAGCAAGTTAGAGTTCTTTAGGTGTACAGAGTGTTACTTTCTAAAGTCCTAATTTTGACCATCAGTGTTATGAAATAAGGAACTTAACTTCTCACCTTCTGATAAGATTTGTAGAAGTTATCCACAAAAATTGAACCTTCTGTTTGGGAACTCCCTCACCTCTACGATCAAAATTAAGTTTTATCTGCCCTTATTTAGATTTTTTTTTTTTTATCTGAGCCTTTGAAACTAGTATTTCTTAAATTGTTAGTTCATAAAATTGAAGATTATGCTAGCTTTAGTGTACTAATAATCTTAATTTTAGTAGACAGGGGGCGAGGATTTGCTTCTCTCTCTTTACTGAAAATCTCCAGCAGCACAGAAAACAGTAACAACTAATCAAAAAACAGTTAGATGCCACATTAAAACTAAGCGAAAATAACCAATGTAATAAACCGTATCCGTCAAATAGCATCTGTAACATAACCCTTATAAGAAAAAAATGAAAGGGAGGGAGATACTCGCCTCTCATTACTAAAACGAAGATTATTAGTACACTAAAGCTAGCATAATCTTTAATTTTACCACATGACAGGAGGCTTCCTATTTGCATTTTTAACGCTATGAATTAACCAACGTTAGAGATGCATGTGAACTCTGTCTAAAGTAGAAGGTCCGAAATGTATTCTCCTGTGTCCAAGCAGCACAACGCATAATATCGGCCAGGGAGGCTCCTGCCGACAATGCTTGGGACGCGGCCGCGCCTCTAACCGATTGGGCTCCAAAACATGATTCAACGCCGGCTAATGTTAAAAGCCAGCGAACCCATCACGGCCAAGGTCGTACTGGACACTGGGCCGTGGTGTTTTACACATGAAATCAGAAGTTGACCCCCCGGCGTTGTTCGGAGGGGAGCCGAGACTTCTATATACCGCCTTAAAGTCCTAACCACACAGTCTGGGGTCTGCAACGAAAAATGGATAACCCCTTCAGGAGAGAAGATGAAACCATCAACATCAAACGCCCTTACATCTGAATTGAAACGAGGCACAATAGCAATGTGAGCTTGGCAGAGATTTGCTTCAGCGAGAGGTATGGGTTATCCAGCCATTCCCTCAGGAAGAGTAGCACCGCATCCACGTGCCATAGTCGTGAATATTTTGGTGCGGGTGGCCTCGACAACTTAACACCCCGTAGCAAGCGACAAACCAGTGGGTCTTGGCCCAACAGGGTGCCTTGTATCGGCACGTGCGCTGCTGAAATGGCCGATCTGGTCACATTGAGGGTTCGGAATGACTGCCTCTTGGTGGTTGGTCCGAGACGCGAACAGGTCCAGGCCCAACGAGCGTCTCTGACGCCTCAGTTGTTGGAATATTGATGTATTGAGCTTCCAGGCGCTGTTGTCCCTCCAGTGACGGGAGAACCAATCCGCTGTCAGATTGGAGGTCCCTGGGAGGTATTCTGCTCAAAGTGTAATGTTGCGGGAGAGGCAGAACTGGTATATGTCCTTGGTGGCCTCCGTGAGGGCTTGTGATCTGGCTCTGCCCAAGCGGTTGATGTATTGCACCGCTGAAATATTGTCCATGCGGAGCAGAATGCAACAATCCGACATCCTTGGCCAGACTGCGGATGGCGAAGGACCCCGCTATCAATTCTAGACCATTGATGTGGAGGTCGTTCGCTTCGCCCTGCCACGGACCCCCAGTGGAGAAGTCCGCGCAGTGTGCGCCCCAGCCCCAGAGGCTGGCGTCTGACTCCATGATGAAGTCCGGGGATGAGCCACATATTGCCTTGCCATTCCAGGCTTGCAAATGCAGTAGCCACCACCGAAATTCTGTCCGAACCTCGTCTGAGAGGTGGATTCAGTGGTCTTATGAGCGCCCCACGCGCAGGTATTGCGCTTTGAGTCATTGCATGGCTCGGTAGTGTAGTGGCCCTGGGAATATAGCTTGGATTGAGGACGATAGAAGGCCCACGATCCGTGCCAACATCCTGAGAGGGACGGTCTCCATCCGGATAATTTGTCTGATCTCCTTCCGTTTGTAAACTATCTTTGCCTTGGGGAGGCGTAGAACACAGCCGATTTCGAAACCGAGGAACTGCACCGATTGGGCGGGAGAGAGAGACGATTTTTGTCTGTTCACCACGAAACCCAAGGATTCCAGACAGTGAACGACAAATTTCGTCTGCAATCGTAGTCTGGATGCCAATTCGCAGAAAAGTAGCAAATAGTCCAGGTAAGACATCGCACTCCTGATGAACGGATGTGAGCCATCACCGGCTTCAGCAGCTTTGTGAAACACCGCGGAGCTTAGGCCGAACGGCAGACATGTGAACTGGCATGTGCGTCCTCTCCAACTGAAGCAGAGGAAGCGATGACACTCCACGGCGATTGCGACTGACAGGTATGCGTCTTTTAGGTCCAGACGCGTGAACCAGTCGTCCACGATGAGGAAGTGAATGCCTTCCATTTTGAAGTGTCTGTACCACATATGGGTTCAAATCTCGCAGGTTGATGACAGGTTGGAATTCGCCTGTCTTCTTCCTTATCAGGAAGATATTGCTGAAAAACCCATCTACTTCCGGCGCTTACTGTACTGCGCCCTTTCGGAAGAGGTTTTGTTCTGTGGACATACGACTCGTTGGCGGGGGAGATGTTTAGATTGGAAGCGAGTGGAATTCGATGTTGTAACCTAACACGGTCTGGAGCACCCAGGCGTCATTGGTGATAGCGTTCCAATTCTGAAAGGAAAGGGTTAGGTTGCCAGCGGTAAACATAGGGGCAGATGAACTGCCATGGGCACCTACCCGTGGAGAAGCGGCCACGTCCACGAGCTCTGGAGCCTCTGGCTCTGTCTGTTCCTCTGTGGAAAGAGGATCTCTGGGTCAAGGCAGGGTAGAAATTGGATGTCTGGTAGTTTCTGGAGCCTGATGACCAGAACCGGCTGGTGGCACGGCACCGTTGCCGACCAGCCCGGCCAAAAACACCTCTTCCTGATGCTGTACGAAACACTTGTTTCAGGGATGTTTGCGCCTTGTTCAGCGTGGTGAACAGGTTGACATGCCTTTTTAGTTCGGAGATGAACGCTTCCCCGAATAGCAGGCCTTTAGCCTCTGCTCCTAATTCCTTGGCTCCGAGGTCCAGCAGCTACGTGTCGGTGCGTAGCAGGGCCGCCTTGTGCCGCTCGGTACAGAGCGCTGTATTCGTGTTGCCCAGCAGACGTATGGCTCGTTGGGCCCATTCCCGGATAGCATGCGGGTCCAGTTGAGTGCCTTGGGTGAGCGCTATGTCTGCAAAATGCAGAATCTTGGCCAGCGGGCCCAGCATGTCTAGGGCTTTGTCTTGAACAGACTTCATTCATTTTTCGGCGTCTTTGTGGGGGTCCCGTCCGGAGTGGGACATGAAGGACACCACCATGGTGTCGAATTCCGGAGTGCACGCTACCTTGTAAGGTAGAAGCGGTCTAGGGCATTCAGCTTTAAGGCGGGCTCGGACCTCTTTGGCGAGGGACTTGCGCAGCCAAAAATGGATGAAGTCTGTGAGACTATCAGGAAGGGTCAATTCCGATGACAGAGGATGTCGGATGTTCCGGGGGTCGAAGAGTGGCCTTCCCTGTTCGTCCAGGAAGGTACCCTCCTCTCTCTCCTTAGTTTTTAGAGGCCTCCAGGCGTGCCTGTGCTCGTCCATCTCTCCAAGAAGGTCTCCGTGACGTACTGCTTATGGCCTCCCAGAGTAACCTCTACCTGTCTCTTGCTGTCTCCTAAAGGGCAGCCCACCTTATTTGACTGCAAATTCCTGTCCTAATGAATATAGAATGTAAGCTCGACTGAGCACGGTTCTCTTCAACATATTGTTCCCGTAGGTTTATTTGTAATTGTCCTATTTATAGTTAAATACCTCTCTCGTAATATTGTAAAGCGCTACGGAATCTGTTGGCGCTATATAAATGGCAATAATAATACTGCGATGGGGGTTGCGTCAGGTCTTGCCAATCATCTTCCTCCGAATACGAGGCATCCCCGCGCCAGTCGTCCCGTGGGTCGGAGTCCTCCTCCGAGGAAGGGGGTGCTGGAGGTCTTTTAAGCGGTGCTTTGCCTTTAGACTTGGAGGCCCGGGGGCTTGTGCCCTTGCGGAGTCTTTTGGGCCTTGACAGGTCCGAACCTGAGGTGCCCTGGCCGGTGGTGCCCGTAGTAGGGCTTTCTCGACTGAGGCCGCAACTGTGGCGTTTATCATCGTCTGAAAGTCCTGAGGCGTTTGTGTGTTATACATGCCTGAAGCTATCCTGTATGTGAGACAGTGACGGACAGTCAGGTATAATAGTGATGGGCAATCACAGAGGAGTCCGTCTCCTCGTACAACTGGGGTTGGCCCAGGGCGAAGCGATCCAATGTGCAAATATTAAAGTAGATGATGCCCGTGAGTGCTAATAAAATATATATATATTGATTGTGTGTGACCATGCAGGAGGCTCCTCTCACCTGGATACAGGGGGTACCCTGTCGCACCATGGAGACCTGACGTCTCTGTGCCCTGGGTGTGCTCCAGTGGTACCTGGAGTTGAGACTCCGGTAAGTACAGACAGTTGTGTTGCGGTCAGACCGTTGGTATAATATTTACTGCCATAGCAGACCCGCATGTAGTTTAGCAGGGGTGCCCCCTGAGTGGTGTGCCGTGACAATCAGAGGGCACCCACTGTAACCATAGTCCCACAATCCGGTAGATACGGAAACTGGGGTTTCTGCACCGGTGGCCTGCCATGAAAAATGCCAGATGACAGCCACAATCTCCCATCTACGCTCGGTACAGTATAACCCTGGGCATGGGGGGGGGGTGTGTGTGTGTGAGAGAGAGCACGCCTTCTGGCAATAGGGTCTTATGCCCTTAGTCACCTTAGTTGGATTATTCCTTTTAATATGGTAGTTTAGCAGGGTATTCCAGTAATGATGTATTTCCTCCCTGAGATAGGGAGCAATTGTACCCCCACAGATAAAGTGGAACAGCAATCCAGTGTGCTACATCGAAAAAGAAATGACAGGCTCATTATGTGAGGGTTCCTCAATGGTGGTAAACTCCCTACAAAAAAGCGGAACTGCCGTCGAGGATCTCGCGCCAAGATGGCCGCTGCACGTGCACGACTTTCATCAGTGTACCCGCTCTGTGCGGGCCTGCTGAAACTACGCAAGGTACTTACCTGACACCCCACCCTCCGTCCCCACACGGTCCCTGTCAGAATACCGCCGCAGATCCCGGAGCGATCGCAGCACTGAGAGCCACGACGCCCGCGATCGCGGTGAGAAGGCAAAGGAGTGACAGACTAGTGGACCAGAAATAAAAACTAGGTAGTAAGAAGTAATTGCCAAAAAAGGGGGGAGAACTGGAAGGAAGGCAGGGGGAATCAAGTAATAGTATAAGACAGTCAAAAGATGTACTCTTAGTTAACAGTAATGTATCTGCAGAAGAGGCAATACTCTGACCTGTGCAGGCTGGAGCAGCAAAGAAAGCGGAAATGTCACTGTCAGGGCCTTTAATGTGCCATCTAACTGTTTGATTAGTTGTTACTGTTTTCTGTGCTGCTGGAGATTTTCAGTAAAGAGAGCTATGCAAATGGGAAGACTCCTGTTATGTGGTAAAATTGTCTTTAGTAGCGATAACTTCTGCGAAGTGTGTGGGAGAACTTAATTGTTTGGGTGCCAACTTTTCAAATCTTGTTTTGCATTCAGATAAAGTTGTCTTAAGACTTCTCCTTTCCTTTAAACCTAAAGTGTCTTATCTTGCAATTTGCAACGAGAAATCGTTTTGCCAAATTTCTGCCAGAACTCTTCTAATCCCAAGAACAGGTCCTACACAGATTAGATGTAAAACATACATTATAGTTTTATCTGAATGAAATTGCCTCATTTAGATGTCAAACTCGTCTTTGGTTTTCCTTCAATTCTGGCAAAAAAAAAAAAAGACTCAAAGTCTACTTACCGCCAGATGGATTTAATAATATCCTGCTCTTACTATTAGAGCAATCTCTATGGCCTGGGCTTCTACTGAACAAATTTGTAAAGCAAGAACATGGTCCACCCTTGAGTATATTAGGTTAGACATCCATTATTCAGAAGATGCTTTGTTTTGGCATATAGTTCTTCAGGCCATTAAGTGATCCACCCTTCAGTGCAGCTTGCAAATTATTTGCTGTATTTCTATCTGTATCGAAATGCAGAATTTTTACTTGCTGTAAATTCCATTTTCCATAGGTTTTCGGCAGTACAGGTTTCTCTTCCCTTCTTTTGTGATATAATTTTGTAGTATAATGGGTTTTTTCTTTTCTTTTCTTCTTTCATTCTGAAAAGTACTGAAAAGACTATGCAAGTCGTCGTAGTAGTAGTCGTAGTAGTAGTAGTAGTACTGCTAATTCTTTGGAAAATTGAATTTACAGGGAGTAGAAATTCTGTTTACTCAAAGGAACATTCTGAGCACCACTACTACTTTTAATGCATTTGATAGGTTTTGGCCTATTAATATGCCATTAAAAAAAAAATTGTATTCTCAAACTAAACTTGGTTTTGCATAAATTTAGGGAAAATTTATTCATACTTGCTGTAAATTTTATTTTTTTTTCTCTCTCGCTATTATTCATGGCAGCATTTAACTAATGGGTAAGCTACTTCCTCCAGCTCATAGTATAGGAAAAACAATTAAGTAGAGTGGTATAATATGCCAATCATCCACTGCTCCCCAATCAAGTAACAAGACAAATCAAATTAACCAAAGGGCTAGACACTTAATAGTAGAAGAAAAGATCAGAACTCTTCATGACTTTACAGCTGGTACATGTATCCCATTCCTACGCAGACTAAAATACAAACTACAACAATTTATAAGTAATATCCCACAGAAACCTGATCTCTGTAGGACACTGACTCAGTTTGAACTTCTAATTGTCGACCCGGCCCCTCTCTTACATGCAGTTTCCTATATTTACTCCCTACTACTATGAAATGGGAATCTTCCATCCCCTCTGTACACGGGTAAATGGGAAACATGACAAGGGTCACTTTAACAATGGGATAAGATATGTGATTTTGTCCACCATTGTGCCCAACAAGCAAGACACAAGAGACCGCTTACAAGGTTCTATCCCTGTGGTACAGGACCCCACTGCTTCTACGGCATATGATCTAATGGGGCTACACTAAGATCATATTTTATGGGCGGGCAATAAGTGAGGTTCTCCGACATTTCCCCACCCCATAGGACCTGTCTCCTATCTCTTGCATCACACTACAACACCGACTGTCAAATACAAGAAGTCCCTCACTGTCAGAATATTAAACACCGCAAAACAAGTTTTACCCTTATACTGGAAGAAAGACACATACTGTCCCTTGAGCATGGTTTAATAGAATAGAGAAACTGTGCAGACTGGCCTGATGTTTACAGCACAGGGACGACCGCAGACATATTTGGATGTATGGACACACTGACTTACGATGGTTTACCATGTAGACTTTCAGACACTGCTGACATATAGACAACAGGGAGTGGAGAGGGACATCCTCCCAGAGCAGAGACAGAATTAGATGGGGGTCTCGAAGCGCCAGTCTTGACGGAGAGAGATTCCACGCTTAAACTGCTTTACTATATGTCAAGAACCTCTGGGAACATTAAGCCACGGTTCCACAGACATTGCAGGGCTACACTGCATATTTTGACTGAGTTACTATTTTCTCTGACACTTTTAATGCTCAAGGCTTGCAAGAGAATGCTTCATTAAAATTGGAAATTATTACTGGTCTGTATAAAGCAGCACTTCGTGGCCATGTTTAAGTGAGATATTGTAACTTTTAGGGACCTGCTTGTCCCCATTCTCTAAACTTTGATACATCTGATCTCTAATAAATGTAGTTTACAAAAAAAAAAAAAAATCTGTGAGGGAAACCCAAATGCTCCCAGGAAAAGGAAATTACTGTAAGTATGAATAACCCCTACTGGGTTAAACTGAATTGCTCCTCCTGTGAAATGATTTAATATATTTTTGTGTTACCATTCTATGCTACAAGCACTCTCCCTGTCTAGATGACCTCTGGAAGAGTTAATTGTTTATACCTCAGTTTGCATTAGTTCTGTAATATTTCCACCATTATTATTGCCACTTATATAGTGCCAACAGATTCCGTAGCGCTTTACAATATTATGAGAGGGGGGATGTAACTATAAATAAGACAATTACAAGAAACCTTACAGGAACAATAGGTTGAAGAGGACCCTGCTCAAATGAGCTTACAGTCTGTAGGAGGTGGGGTATAAGACATGTTAGGACAGGAAATATCAAATAGGGTGGGAGTGAAGCAGAGCTGTTTTCAGTGATAAAAAGAGCCCTGAGACACACTGCCATCCATGAGTTAAACTGAAAAACAAAATATTTAATCTTTGTGACACTTAAATAGAATTTGCATAATAATTTGGAACAGGGTGTAAAAAATAAATAAAAAGTAATCGGTTAATGTTTGGGGAGGGGAGGGGAGGAAACAGGAAGGGGGCTGTCAGTGTGTGTATGTCTGTCATTGTGTATGTATGTCTGTCAGTGTGTATCTGAGTGATTGTGTATGTCAGTGTGTATGTGCGTGATTGTGTGTGTGTATGTCTGTCAGTGTGTATCTGAGTGATGGTGTGTGTATGTCTGTCACTGTCTGGCTGTCTGCCAGTGAGTGAGAGTGTGTGTGTGTCTGCAGGGACGTGTCTTCCACGAGGCAAACAAAGCATCTGCCGTGGGCGGCACTTCGCAGGGGGCGGCAAAAAAAGCTGCCCCCCAAATGCCCATGCAGATCCCTTGCTTGCCTCACGTCCTGGGGGAGCTCAAGAGCTGGCCGGCTGGCTCAGCTACCTCCGCGCCACTTAATGAAGCCGAGAGACGGAATATGACGTCAGACCGGCTACCGGCATCACTAAGCGCCGCAACTCAGCATGTGCGCCCCCTGCCTGCCCGACCAGCAGCACCACTGGACAGGTAAGCAAAATTAGACCTGTGCTGCAGATACTCCACACTGAAGTCCTAACAGTGTGTATATATAACCAAAAAACAAACACGAGTCCTGCGCATCCAGTATAGGTGTGCACACCCAGGTGCTACCACAATTTATTTGAGGACAAAGTTATTCAGCAAATGTTTCGAGCAGCAGCCCTTTCTCAATGCTAATGTCCTACAGTTTATGCAAGATAACAATATATACAAAAAAGAGTGCTCACAACCCAAAAGTGCCACCCTCAGGTAATCAAATGTAGAAGCAGGATCAGATGTGCAGTACATTTCCATCACTCTGGCATGTTTGATCATTCCAATCACTTCCTGGATCGGCAGAAATGGGCGTATTACGGGGCCACTCTAAGGCCTCGTAATATGTCTATTTAGTACCTGTGTTTGTGACATTCACCTTCTGTAACTTCGGGTACGACCCCATACCACTCAAAGAGCTAGAAGCTTTCTGTCTGAAATTGTGGAGGCAGGGACCAGTGTTTGGCACACTCTAGGTAAGTAATCAAACTGTATTCCCTGCCCCCGTCCCAGCCCGCCCCTGGTTCTAAAACAGTTTGACTACTTATAATCGGGGGAGCACCAGGCCACCTCAGCATTATTTTTAAGGCTTTGGAAATGCAGATATTTTTATGGCATCTTAGGACTGTTTTTTGTTTTTTTTAACATATGATTATGATTGTGTTTTTACTCTTTACTCTTTTGGTATTTTCACTGCCTAGGCAATTGGTTTTCTTAGATTCCTAATGGTATTCCTGCAAATTTATGGAATACATAAATAACTCTAAATTTAATCTGTGGAGTATTTTATTATATTGTTTCAAGACACCAAGCTGTGAGAAAAACACATTTACACATTACGTTTTCAATTTATCATTTAATGGCTATAAAGTTTGAGATTCTGTTTAAGTACTGCGAAACATCGTAGTAGGATATTTTTAAATATGAAGCGCAGAGATAAATATATATGAAACTTTGCTGCCACCTACTGATAACTGTTTTATAAGATTCAATAACAGGGTTATTCACTAAACACTGGATGTTCGAACAGTCAAAATCATGTGACAATTACTGAAATCTGACCACATTGGAAAATCACAGGCTTGCTAAAGTAAGATTCTGTAACATTCATTAAGAAAATTGATAGTATTTACATTTGAACCAATGTAAAGCACAGGAATCTGAGATTTATCAACAACCACGTGGCCGAAGAAGATAAGCAGAATGAATGTGCAGGATGCACATTTGCAAACTATCATTCACTTTTTGAAGTGAATTGATAATATGAAGAGCTATTTGGTTGAAAACAAATCCTCAGCGGTGCAAATATTAATTTTACGGTGGTTGGCCAGAACTTGCAAGCTAGCCACCGTATTTAAAAAATAAATAAGTGTTTTAAATAAATAAAACATTGTATTGGTGTCAATAAGAATAATAAGGTGGTATGCCTCCACATGTGGCCTGTAATATAACAGGATGGGGAAGAGAGGCACATCGGGTGGGGGCTACTCTAATGGGGCCTAGAGTTCTCTACAATGGGTGAGAGGCGGGGGCTCTAATATTGAGGGGACCTAGTGTCATGTCCCTCTCTTGGTCTCCACCCATGAGTGATGGGTGGTGGCCCTAATTAATTGTGGAAAAAAAGGTGATGGCCTTTTGTCCACCCCCCAAATAATAGAATGCCCCATATTTCTCCCTGGTGGCTAGAGTTCCCAAACACCATAGCCATTCCCCTTAACAGTAATCCAATATATAAATAGATTAAACTTACCGTCATAATTTTTCTTTTTCTTCTGTTCGTCAACCCCAAAAAAGGAAAGGTTAATATCCATAATGCCAACAATTTTAAAATAAAAATAAAATAAAAAAAATGTCCAGACTGAAAAACAAATAAAGATTGGAATCTTGAGACTGTCAAAGCACTTAATATTACGGCCCCTACCCACTACACATGGGTGGGGACCAGGGGCAGGAAACTAGGTTGCCCCCCCTCCCCATTATTATTAGGGTACGGACCTATGGGATTGGGCCTTTTCTAGCAACTGGGCAGCCATTTTATTGGTCCTATTAACCCCATGGAATTTTATTCTTTTTTTTTTAAGTTTTTTTAATGTGGCTAGTTAGCAAGCGCTGGCCTGCCATCACATTATTGACATTTGTGCTACAAAGGGTTTTTAATTATTTGCCCCCTTACTGCTAGCGCTGATAGTTGTAACCTCTGGGCAAAAACTGAATTAATGTGGTGCAGATTTTAGAGGAGGGGGAGTGACGTCCACTGCTCCCAGACTCGCCAGCGGTCTTCAGTGGATCCCCTGCCTCCAGCTCATGTCTGGCCCGTGCCATCTGACCACCAGAGGTAAGATTCCCCCCCCTCCCTGGCCCAACGTAAGTCTCAGGGAGGGGGGGATACCTTTTTAGATTGATTTTTTTATTATTATTTATTAAAAAATTTTAATGCAGCCCCTGCCTCCATTATACTCCCATGTCCCCCCATCCCCTTCTACAGCCCTTGCCTCCATAATACTTCCCCTGTACCCACTCTACAGCACCTACCTCCATAATACTGCCCCTGCCCCCCCTCTAGAGTCCTTGTCCCCCCTCTACAGACCCTGCTTCCATTAGACTGCCCCTGTCCTCCTCCTCTACAGCCCCTGTCCCCCCCTCTACAGCCCTGCCTCCATTATACTGCCCCTGCCCCCCCCAGAGCCCCTGTCTCCATAATACTGCCCCTACAAGGGAGACCTACAAGGGAGTGTAAGACAACATAACGGGTGATACAGTACACTAAAGGGGAAATTCAAAAGGGGGTTTACGAGACACCGGTGAAGATGCATTTTTTGGGGAGAGGGGAATGGGGTGTCAAAATCCATGTTCGACTGTGTAGCCAATAATCCTTGCACCGGCCCCGCATTCCGTACTTATAAAATCTGGACCAAATATCAACTTGTTTGGTGCCTGATTTACACAATCCTGACATTGTTGAATTATTTCAATAATGTCTGGATTTTGCAGCCCAGATGGCCCTGAACACAGTCAGATGGTTTTGCCCCATTTGGTAAGGGCCATTCGGACTTTAGTTAATAATCAGTAAGTTGTAATTAGAGTTGAGCGGACACCTGGATGTTCGGGTCTGGCGGGTTCGGCCGAACCTTGAAAAAAAGTCCGGGTTCGGGCTCAAACTTGACCCTGAACTTGAACCCGAACCCCATTGAAGTCAATGGGGACCCGAACTTTTGGGCACTAAAATGCCTCTAAAAAAAGTCCTGGAAAGGGCTGCAAAAGGAAGTAAAATAGGGGTAAGAGTAGGACAAGTGCCCTGCAAACAAATGTGGATAGGGAAATCACTTAAAATAACATAAACATTAAAAATACAGCTGAGCCATAAAATAGCACTAGATGGAATCTTTGATTTTAGCTCTGGAAGAACATAAATCAAAATCTAAAGCATGGCTGTCAGGAGGATTAACAGAATTATCAATTTGAGAGAGGGCTGGAGTGCAGGGTATTCTCTTTCATTGTTCAAACTGAGCTCAACTCCTGATGCATGGAGAAAATGCCTTCACAAGCCTTTATACTAAGTGACCCATAGGTTGAGGAGGCGGTGACCGCGGCGGTTGAGGAGGAGGAGGTAGCCAACACTGTTTTTTATTTGTTTGTTTTGTTTATTTATTTATTTTTTTTAATTGTTGTAGCCCCCAAAATATTGGGACATACAAAAAAAGAAAACTGTTCCACAGAGCGACTGAATAACAATGCAGGACTCTTTAGAGGCCCTGTAATTGTAATGAGTCCACCTGAAATTCTTTAACTCTGATCAATTGAAGGGCAAGTCTGGTGCAGAGCGACTGACCCGTGCGTGCTGCAGCTGAAACTGCACTATCGCTTGCTGCTGCTCGCACAGTCTCTCCAGCATGTGCAAGGTGGAGTTCCACTTTGTGGGCATGTCGCATATGAGGCGGTGAGCGGGAAGGCCAAAGTTATGCTGCAGCGTAGACAGACAAACAGCAGGGTGAGAACGCCGAAACCGCGCACAGCCGCTACAGTGAATGTCACATCCTGTTCCAAGTTGCGGATCAGTCTGGTGATGGCTTCTGGTATCCAGGACTCTTTTTACTGAAGCTGCATAAGGGTCCTGGTATGTGGCCTCACAAACGCTGGTGCTCAACACCAGGGGACGTGCGGTTACCCTGCACCAGACCCAGCTAATCCATTCCACAATGTGACTCCTAACTTCAACATCAGGCATACTGGGTCCCGGTTGTCCGACCACTGCCCAGACAGTGTCTAAGTCCCGGTCACCGGACTGCGAAACTGCAAATGGCTCATTAAATCTGTTATGGTTCCTTTTATTGCTCCATCTGTTACTTGGATAACTGTGGGCATTCTAAAGATAATACATGCCGATGAGCGCTAGGGGACGGCCGCTCCGCTTTTGCACCCTGCTCCCTCTTATGCTGTACTGGTGCATCTGTGCGACCAGCGCCTCTTCCTCCAAACTGCACACGTCACTCACATGACCTTGATTCCATGTGGGGTCTAGGACCTCATCATTCGGGTTCCATGTGGGGTCTAGGACCTCATCATCTTCCACCCACTCCTCAACCCTGCCCTCCTTGTCGGTCTGCACACTGCAGAAAGCCACAGCAGTTGGCACCTGTGTTTTTCCAGCATCTAAAGTCTGCAAAGGACATACGGAAATTGTTTTAGAATTGTATCCAGGCAACAGTTTTCCCTATAAACTCACCT